TGCAGCTTTTAATATTTAATCTGCAGACTTGTGTAACAAATTTAAATACTAACTTCTGATTGGCTACATGCACTTAGAGAGGTTAGTATGATATAAAAAATCTTTTGAGTGAACGTGTATTTGCAGAATATAGAACATACATTTAGCACTAATGATTTTATACAGCTAAAACAAAAACGTGCATTTAGAGAAGTATTGCATTTATAGAAGTTGTATTTAGAGAGGTTCAACTATATTTCTTCTATTAAAATACAATGGACAGGGTCTTTTCTATCTTGAATTGCTTCGAGAAAAACCTCATGTTCTCTTTCTATCAGTGCAAGTTTTGTATATTTTGTTTTTTCTATATTATAGTACCATAATTCTTCGTAGAGCTCTACTATCTTTTCGTTGGCTATTTCCTTCGAAATGAGCTCTTGCCTAGCATATTTTGCCATTATGTTTTCTATACTTATATTTGTTTTTTTGTCAGATATTGCTGCTTTTAAGCCCTGGATATCTGCTATTACCTCTTTCATCACTTCTGATGTATCAGAGTTAATATAACCTTGTCTATACATCTCTATATCTTCACGTACTTCTTTTGCTTTCATCTTTGTTAATTCTGCTATGACAGATTTTTTTCAGAACTTTCTGTTGTTGTTTTGCTTCACATGACTTGTTGTCTGACTACTGTTGTTTGTTGTTGTTGTTTGCTATGGTTGTTTACTATTTTTATTTACTTTCGTCATATGGTTTTTGTCGTATTTATTTTATTTATTTTTTATTACGTGTTGTGATTCTTGTATTACCAAAACTGATCTGCAATTCAGGGTCAAGGCCGATTCCCCCAAAGTTTGCAAAGTGCAAAAAAATATCGTCGATTTTTCATGACTTTTTCTATATCTTTGCCGCTTTTGTTTTTCTTACTCAAGTCTCTTAAGAGACTAAGTGATTCTTTTGGTCCTTTTCCTCTTTACTTAGAGGCTTGAGACTAGTTTCTTAGTAACTCTTATGTGTTTTTTATATTTTTTTGTTAATTTTTGTTTTCCAGAATTTTGTGTTTTGATGATTAGCAAAAAGAGTTGGCAAAATCATATGATACTATTATAATATGATAATGATAATCTTATTGTCTAATGCTTTTTTGTTTTTTGTAATACTATGGTATGCATTTAAATGCTATAATATCATTCAAGGAAGGAGATTACGGAGATAACCCAATTTATTTTTATAATCATAATAGATTGGATATTAAGACTCAGATAAAGATTTCAGTGCTATCATCATAGTCACTAGCATTAGAATTAGTGTTGGCACATATTTATTACTGTGCAATGTAGCAGTGGAATTTATATAAGAATAACTGAAATAATAAATTTATTTATATCAATATTAATTCATGAACAGTTTATATAACTCTAATCACATGGAATGCAAATGATAAGTCCGCTCTTTTAAATGGGAATTCAAATAGACTTAAAGTAAATTATATAGATAATATATTTTTATAAGTGCACTCAAAATTTATAATTATCTTGTCAAGATATTTTCATAAAAGTTAAGAATATATAATTTACTACCTTGTTGAACTTTTTTCAAAATAAAAAAGATCACAGCAAAGATAATGAAGATGCAGTAATTCATACTACTAATCCAATTTCATTACAATGCCAATTGTTTTATTTTGAAATTGATATTATAAATAATGAAGAAAATAGGTAAGATGCAAAAAATCTGTTAACTTTAAATAAGTTTTATTTCTTTATAATTTTTACATCTTTTGAAGAATTATTGTAATCAGATTTTGTACAAAATCAGCTAAACTAAATAAATTGCCTGGTAATTATAAAATCTAATTTTTATTAGCTATAAAAATATATTTATTTAGTATTCTTATTATTAATATTTGTAGGGTGTGATAAGGATTCGTGGGGATACTATAGTGATGATAGAAATTTTTTCGATTGTTCAAAAATCGAAGAACTATATGAGCCTAAGTTTAAAACTGGTAATACTATCGGATGCCTTTTAAACTTTAAAAATAACATCATATTATATACTAAAAATGGTGTGAATTTGGGTAATTATTATTTAATACTTAAATCTATTTGAGTGATAAAAGTTAATATTTTATACTATTTTTTTTAAGGGATTGCATTTTGAGACTTAAAATATAATGAGTTTCTTGAAAAAAAGATTTGAAGATTGATTTTTATTATCCTTGCATTGGAATAAGATCAGATCACGGATCTAAATCTATAGAGGCGAACTTTGGACATAAAAGTTTAAATATACAAGTATTCTTTATCTAGTCTTTTATCTAGTATTGAATGATTACATGTTTAGTTTTTTTTTAAATTTATAATATTATACAGTATAATATTACATTTTATGAATAGCAATAACTGATAATGATATTGATAATGATCGAGTAAAAGAAGAATGGAATAAAGCTTTTAAGCAATATGATAATAAAGACATTATTGAAGATTTTATAAATCAATTGAACTCATTCGAAAGTAATCAACAAAATAGAGTAAAACATCATGCAAAAGCTAATTTTATTATAGAAAAATATGAAAAAGCACTTACAAATTTAAACGATCTGCTTGAAATTGAA